TAAGGTAGAAAATCACGTCACCATACATGCACTTAAATTAGGTATATCAAAATGCATAATAATTAAAGTTTAAAGGGTATGTACTTACGTTACGCACTCTTGTGGTTTCATATTTGATAACTGTAGTTTCAACAAGTTTTCAATTTGTCTTGAAGTGAAAGCTATTTGTTTGTTGACCCTAATAATTGTCTTACATACCACGGAACTTCGATTGACATTGATGTTAGAATCAGACATTTCTAATGCAATTTAGTCATAACGGTTCTTCAAAACAATACCTATCGCAGATTATAGTTATTTATTTATCTTGTCGCTATGGTTAAGTATAATATTTATATACATTTTTGAAAACTACTCTTTGAATTTGTACATATTATGTATAGGGTTATTAATGTGAAATGTTCACTTTGAAATAATTCAAAAAAACATTGGAAAATATATTTTAGATTCTGAGAGGAGCGATAAATGTATTACTTTTACAATAATATGAGTTTTTTATTTTATTCTTTTATTTTTGTGTCCATCATCATGGTTTAAGGCAGAGAAGTGCTTCAATTTTCTTCAACAGCAACTTTTCTGGTAGAAGAGTGAATTTTATTGGTTTGAAAGGTCAAAATTTGAAATTCCCAACGTTTTTCAAAATCTACAGGAAAAACAAACAAAATATTAAGGAAAACCGGGAACTTTTACACAAAACCAGTTTTTGAAAAAATCGATTTTGGTTTTAATTGAAACTTTAAAAATAATAACCATAGACACATGACATTTTCATTGAATGTTTGTTTTCGCATTTGCTACACACCATAACATTTTCAAAATATTGTGACTCGTGTTGAACTTTTTATATGAGCATATGAAATTTTCGATCATTATTTGTTTTTTTTAAACTAATGTCGATAAAAAATGTTTAGCGCTATCAAAAAACTTGAAAATGTAATACAAAATTCCTCATAAGTTGCAGTTGTTAGTGGAAATTATAAAAAAAGTTGAGCTTAAATCCGCAATAATATTGTATGACCTTTTGAATTTAAAATTTTGACAAAATTCGTAAAAATCACGAAAAATTGCAAATTATTTTGAGTTAGAAATTCATAAAAATGTTTCTTATTATATCTTAGATTTTAAAATTTAATACAAGATGCCTTATAAGTTTGTTTACCTTTGTCAAAACAAAAAATATTCTACTAAAGCTAAATTAAATTTTATGAGCGTTTGAAGTTGAAATTAATACAACATTGATCATTCACTCCATTTCTCATATAGCAATTTTCTTATTTTGTTGTAATTCAAAAACTAATAACTATAGATGATTACCTAAAAGGTGATGTCAGACATGCAAAAAAAATAAAATAGAATGAAAACGCATTGTAAAATCAATAGATTCATCGTTTTGCAGCTCAGAATCAAAAATGTATTTAATTATTCGTTCAGCCAAAAACTAAAAATAAATTATTGTACATCGCAATATGTGAGCGCTTTGGTTTGTAGCTAATTTTAAATTGAAAAAAGATGGGACAATGGTAGAAACCCCTTGATGTAGATGTCATAGAATATTTTAAACATTTCGATTCCACGTATATTGTAATTATTGCAATCTGTCAAATGTAGAGTAAGAAATATAATGATACTTAAACTTATTGATACACGCCGTGCCACTTAGGATGATTGGTCAGATGATTGTTATGATTAAACTACAAATGTCAACTTTTATACTTGACCTCAATTATTTCCAATTTAAAATCCTTTATGAGTATTATATTGTTTGTTGATAATCATTTTATTTATTTAAAATAACAATATTAAGTCATAGGTTATCACCATATTATTGATTGTTGTTAATTGTTATGCTGATCAAGTTATTTTTATATATTTTTTGCATCTATACCTAACAAATTGGAATTTATTGAAAACTGCAAAATTACTTAGATATCATAATGATATTCGTAGTTATGACTTATGAAATTTGGAAATCAAAATGACGATCTACTTTACTATAAAGGTTTTAACCAGTAGCTATTTCAGGTTCTTAGGTTCTAATATTCGAACCATATTGAGTAATTTATAGCAAATTGTAGGTAAGCGTCAAGTATCATAGAAGTACGGCTATATGAAACATATAGTATTTTATAATTGATTTTAGTTGTATGTCATTTATAGGTGTATAAAAATATCTAAAATCGTCAATAATCAATGTACCTGTGAAGTAAAATTATAGTCTTGATGATAAAATAAAATAAAGGTACCTATTATAAATAAAAATATATATTTTCTACTGGTTTATTTTTCAAATATTATATTCTACTCGTGTGATGTCCTAAATTTCGAGTTTGTAGAAGAAGTACTCATGAATATATATTTTTTTTACTTTATAATTTTGGTAAGAAATCAATTACTAATATAAAATGGACTGAACAATAATCAATATAAAATAATTGATATTTTAAATGCCGTTGATTCACCTCCGTATTTTGTAGTTCGTATAATATATAAATTCTTATCCGAAATTTAAGATACAATTTCTGAATGATATGTTCTAGAATAATATCTGATGTATATTTCAAAAATGTAACCAGTGGCCATTTTTATTAAATATCAATATTTGTGCTTATTAAATAAAATGCATTTAATTAAAAAGTCTTTATTTAAAATTGTTTTTATAAAATTAATTGCTGGCTTGCCTTAAGTAAGGTTTATACCAATTACTAACAAGATAAAATTATAACTGTTTTAGTAGCTGGCTTTGGTCGGTATTTTTCTGGTTTGTTAGTTTATTTTATTTTCAAAAGTTGGATTTTTATCTTCTGTTGACTTTCATACCTAGAAATTCAGAATAAATTTCAAAGTAATTTTTATCCATTTCAAATTTGTAGCATATTTTTGGGAACAACTTGTGTTGCGGTGAAAAAATTTGTTTTTTGTGATTATGGGAATTAGTGCGAGTTGACATTTTATTGAAATAATCAAATAAAAAACTATTCAGAAATATTAGTAGGTCGCAAATACGTTACACAGTGATACACAAACTGATACTAATTTCTTCCAAAATATCTCAACTGTTCAACTTATTTAATGGGTAGGCACGATATAATTACCAATAATGCTAATACTGTGAGTACTGACCATACCATGGAGTTTTTCGAGCAATTTCGAGTATTTTTGGAATAATCAAACATAGTTATCATATTATTAAGTACCCACATGACCACGTGTAAATTATTATAATCAAGTTACTTACTTAAATTAAATTTATGAACTATATTTATATATAATATTTATGGGGGGTTGGGGTGAACCCCCAAACCCCCCTCATATTCGAGCTTGACTGTAACTTAAATAGGCTTATTATAGAACCTTATTAGAGGTACGTCTAAAAACGTCTAAAATATGTATCAGCAGTACGATTAAAGATATGAGGAACATGTCTAAATATTTTTAATATATAATGTGTACTGTGTAGTATGACCTTTAGGCTTTAATATATCTTTAATCGTGATCAGCAGTAATATTTCGGATATTGGCGGTAGGTATATAAATATATACATTTGAACCGAAAATCAATTACTTAAAGCTTATTCGTACTACTACATATTATTATGATGTTATTTTTAAATCTTAACAACAATTTAAAATTAATTATCGCACACGTCACGTTTAGTACAATGCCCGACAATCAGGAATTTAATTACAGAAAATACTTTCGTGTGTACTCTATAGGTACCTACATATTGCATAAATAATACCTATAGGTTTATATTGCATGTGTGTAAGTACGACGATTCGAGTTATTTTCGGTATCATCAGTGGCCGGAAATATATTGCGTAGTAGTGATGAGGCTATGCTGTGAGAATCCAAACTATGCGGGCCATGCAACCGCCGTAAATGCTAAGTAGAAAGGACGTTTAAACTTTTGACAAAGGTGAATTTTATTTTTAGTACCGTTTCCACATCAGGTTGAGCGTTTTCCTCTTTGGTTTATTTATTTTACATATTATAATTATTCGCTAAAATATTTTGAATCTTCTCTGTCCACTACAACTGTCCACGACAATATGTTGACACCCCGTTAAGCATTGGTAATAAAAAGGATTATTAAAATGTTTTTAATTTGATCACAAATTGTGTGTACCTAATCGTTTTCTATCTATAAAATAGTTGGTTCAATAGAACTTCTGTCTATTAATAAATCACCTATCTAAAAACATTTTAAAATGTGGTTAGTTCACTGTGATTTAAGTACCTAGTAATAATTACACCGATTTTAAAAGTAGGTAGTTCATATAAGTTATAATAGTACGATTCTTATTTTTAAATTTTTATGTAGCTTTTAAAATTAATGAATAACAGTTGAGAACAAATATCTAACACAAGTTATAACTAGGTTCCGTGTTCTATGAACTTATAATATATCAATAGTTAATGGTTATACAAATTATGATAGGTACATATGGTTAAGATTCACGCTTGATTTTCAGATCATCTCTATATTTATTGTATTTATATGGTCATGTAGAGCTTATAGGAGAGTGAATCATCAATCAATAATAATTAGTACCTATGAACCAGTAACAAGTAACTATATTGCTCTAGTACTGGCACTTTTTTTTATACTTAAACAACTTTTTTATAACTTTATAGGTTAGTTTAGGGCGTGAGTGGCTGAACCGCTTAACCAGCCGGTATACGGTAGAATACAGTTTTTAAACTTAAAGTATAGAGTTCAGAACGTTAATGCTACAATAAACTTATAAACATAATTTTTAGTGATGAACAACATAAAACTTTTAAAATAATTACTTTGTGTTAGTCTTAAGTGTATTCAGTACCTACAATAGTAGATTTGCTGGTGGCTATCAGTACCTATGTATAAAAGTTAATAAATAAATTATGATTTTGAATAAGTAAGAAGAATCTAATAGACTAGGTATAGTATTTTATTATAATAGAGAGCCTATAAAAGCTGATGGATAGGTAAAACTCAACTCCAAAAAATAACCACAACTTGGTTATTTTTATTTATTATTTTATCATACATCACTAGGTAGGTATGCAAATTTGTACCTCCACATAGTCATCAAGTTTAGTTATACATACAATATACAGGCATAAATAAGGTAGTTCGGTACCGATAATTTTGACACATATAAATAGGATTACACTATGAAGTCAGAATAATCTTTTTCTATATTTTTATCAATATTTAGTTTTTAAACGAATAAAAAATAGCAAAATACAGTAAACAAATAAAATAACTTTAATTATAAACAACTGTAATATAACATTTCCAAAGAATTCATAGGATAAACTATGAAAGTAAATCAATTAAATAGCAATTAAATACTACGTACATTATAATATACTCCTACTTTTGATTATGGACACAATATCGTCTACAATACTAGTCAACAAATGTAAACTATAAATATTTAAAATCATAATTTTGCTCGATTCAATAACAATATTTATCCTTCTAATAACCAGGTAATCAAATGTTTACAATTTAGATCAAAATAATCACAGCGTTGATTTACTTAAATGACTAACTTATATTAGCATAAACATAATATTATAATAATCGTATAATAATTTTAGCAAAACAAGGATTGAAAATTTGAAAAAAAAATTGTATAATTTTATTTAAGCTTGTATATTATATATTATTTTGAACCAAAATATGTATACCTAACCAGGCCAGCAACCTGTAGGTATCGAATGTTGCATAATAGTTAACATATAAACAATTATTATAATGGCACTTGACAGTTGACACATCATTCGTATTAAGTCTAAGAAAATACAAGATTAAAGGCTCGATATTTTCAATAATAATAATAAGAACTATGGTAGATAAATATAGATGATAGATTAATAACGGGAATCGGGAAGAACGGTATTAAGAACACATAGTTGTATTGTAATTAATAATAATTTTTTTTAAAAATAAGGTTACGTGATATCATCGTCCCTATTTCAGTTTTAATTTGTATGTATATTATGTAATAATGTAATAATAATAATAATAATAATATCATAACAATAAAGAATGGATGAATTACTTAACAATTATAAAATATACATTGAAAAGCTAGATATTTGATTATTCATCAAATAATTATTCTAAGTAATTTGAAAACATTCAATAGTTTTGTTGATATAGTATGATGTTAGTACTAGCAGCAGCGAAGAAAGCGTAATTTGTAACACGGTATTAGGCTTATTATTTTGTCCTGAATTACACCCATCGAAATCACAGGTGAGAATACATCCGTTCATGGTGTGATCTTGGTATTTGAATTCACCGCACTGAGAGTCCATAGTTTTCATGGCACATTGTCTGATGACCATAATTTCATGGGTTAACACTGCAACATAATTAAGAGTTAATAGTTAATATTTATTTTAACTAACCAACAATGACACACTCATTATACAGCCCACAGAAACACAGCCGCACAGGTAAGTTAGTATGTAACGATTTTTCGATTTTTCAAGAAATTACTTTATACTTGATTAAAATGTACATATAAATATATATTATATACAGCCACGTAATTAAAATTCTTGTGCCTATATAAATAATTGATTATTGGAAAATTCCTATAAAATTGTTATGATATTTTGGATTATTTTTAGTACCTATTTGATAAATTAATTTAAAATATTGATGAATAGAGTGTGAGTATTTATATTTTATACTTAATATAAGTACATAATTTGATACAGTGTTTAGTGTGTTACCTTCTTGTGAATTTAAATAAACACACTAAATATCGTTTAACAATAGATTTGTGTTTGACTTACCATTTCTTCCAATGATTTTAGTACAAAAATTTGCTGGAAACATTCCTACATGACCTCTTTTTGGAACCATGCACTTTTCTATGTACGTGGACATTGCTGGGTTAAACGGATCTTCACAATTTGCATTACTTCCGTTCAAAGATGAACATTTAAAGCAATTTATACACGATGTGCCTAAAACGATAAGTATATAAATTTATTTATTAAAAGTTAAAACTCAATCGACAACAATTATAATAGGGCTCGGATTTTAAAGCATATGCTTCTCTTCATATATAGGAGATAGAAATCTAATTCTTCTACATAAATTATTCGTTTCATGACATTCGGATTCCAAATGAACCCATTTATTTTTACTTTTTTTTATTTAAGTAAATGCTTTTTTTGCAATTATTTCAGCTGTGGTATTTTAATATGTTTATTGTGCTATAGTCATAAAAAAAATGTAATTGAATTAATAAGAAATGTAAAGACCATTAAATGATTGGATTATTATTGTTTTCGTTTATCGGCTTGATTATTAAACGTATTAAACATAGTGTAGTCAAAGATCATTTCGTTTGACAATAATCATTTTCACTACTGAGAATCTAGCAAAAAATAAAAACGAAGTATGTGTGGTAGTTATTTTTTTTTCCAATTAAATTTTATATTTGGTTTACGTAAATTTTTGGTCGTGTTTTTTTTTTTTGGTTTTTTCAAACGGTTTTATGTTTTTTTTGTTATTAAGTGTGCTTTAAAATCTGAGCCCTACTTATGAATTATAATTATGTCATTAAAAGTAGGTAATCTGTTATGATAAATCAAAAAATTAATGAGATAGTAAATATTGTTACATGCACTAGTAATATTTTCATATTTACCTTGTAAAATACTCATTAAAACTATTGAGATATCTAACAAGTATATGATCATTCCTTTTAGAATTTGCCTTTGAAGGACAATACCACAATCTGCAAAAAAAATAAAACAACATTTATAGATAGATATAGCTGATAGGACCTAGCCACTAATCACTATTATATAAGTATGCTCCTTATTTTATTCATATACGTAATAGTGACATTTATACAGGTATAGTAAGCTTATCTATTGTACAAAATAAATAATTATTGTTATAAATTTATAATATTCATACTATGAAGAATGACCATAGGAACATTTACAAGGAATTCCAAACCAAAGATCTTGAAAGAAACCTGAAACCACATATTATATCCCTTTGCTCTTATGACCTACATACAAAATATCTCAAAATATAAAAATGAAAAAGACTGACTAGTTAACATAGTGTTCATTTAATATAAGTTTTTAATAGTAGTTCATGTGGTACATTGTTCCATAAATTAAATATTGAGTTTACTTAAGTCTTTAATTCAATTGAATGTACCAATTATATAATAATGCACTAATGCAGCTTTAATTTCAACAGTGCCGTCCTGAAGGGGAGTGTAGGGGTGTCTCACCCCCCTCCGCACACACACAAACGTACATTATGTATGTTGTATGTATCAGTTTGCAAATTTATAGATTCAGTACCTGTTTGAGTTGGCATTCAGTAAATTACCATTTTTTTTTACAAAAAATATTGGAATAATATTATGAAATACGAAAATACCAATTTCATAATAATATGTTATAATTTATAGGTACGTATATAAGTTAATTTTCCGATTGCCAACAGTTCAACACAAATGCTTCTAAAAATATATAGGTATATTATTATATCCTTTTTGCAAGAAATATGTAGAGAAAATACAATGGAGCCCATATTTGTCAACTCAGATTTCTATAAATGGAAATTATGCACCACAAATTTAGAAGTATTAATAAATATAGGTATGTATAGGTCTATAGGTACTACATACCTACTAAAAATATAGTTTATACAATTTTAAATGTTGTTTTGCTATATTTAGTATATAATTATTAATACCCATGTATTCACTTACTTAAATAAAAATAATTTACAACTTTTAAAGCTTTTACTTAAAATATTGAATTTTATTTGCAAAAGTCTCAGATATTTTAAATATCTGGAATCACTGAAGTATTTGAGTAAAAATGTTAAATGCTTATTTCACCTATCTACATTAGTAGCAATATCATATGATTACATTTTTGGAAGGTTAAAATTAAAATTATAGTTTTCTATGGAATTTACTGTTGTTAAAAAGAAAATTGCTAAAGTATTTATTAAAAATTTCCATACTGAAACAAGAACAACACAATACAACAATATGATATATGAGATGTTTAAAAAGAAATGATTTATGTTTCTGATACCTATGGCTATCATCAATGTAACAATGTAGAATACCTACACCAAGGTAGGTATTGAAAATTATATAAAATATAAACATAAATAATTTTCCATATTATGCAAAAATTAATAATAAAATAATATATTTATTCTCAGTTGTTAAGTAAAATATTTAATTATTATTGAATTTTCAATTTTACAAATTTACAATGTTTATTATAAACTTAATACAAGGGAGTACATTTTTGAAAATCTCGATGAGATTTATTAATTAATGCAAGGGTTATAACTCATAACCCGTAGTATAGTTTAACGTCATCGTGGTAATCAATCTACTACCTATCCACATTCCACTAAACAATCATAACTATACATTTATACAAAACAAATAGATAACCTATTTACCTATGTATAAAACTCAAGACTTTTGACTAACTTATTTGAATTTTAAAAGCCAAATTCAATCTTGTAGGAATACTATTCCCATAATTTAAGTGTAATAAATATTAAACGTTACATTAATATTCTTTAGTCTGATACTAATTAATTTTTTCCGAACACGATAATTAATTTTTAAAGTAGATACAAAATATAGGAAACTAGAAGGGAACTACGTCGTATTTTCGAAATGCCTACAAATTCAATCAACCATTACTATTTAACATTTTTACCAGAGCCTTGGATCAGTAGGTTTTTACAAATATACAAATACTCTAATAAAGTCTATAATATAGGCAATAGTGTACCACTAATGTTTTAAATATCTAGGTATTCAGATACTAATTTTGATTAAAAATAATATAATTTTGATTGGTTTATTAATAAAAACCCTTAAAAAAAAAAAAAATGTAAATGTCTTTTCCCACCTCACTATTCGTTGCCGGGTGTTTAATCTATAATATAAATGTATTATTTAGTTTCTTATAATATATATTAAAATAGCTTAAATGCTTCCAAATGATAAGCTAACTAAAATGTTTAATGGCAATATTGCATTTAAAATAGTATACGATATGTCCAAATTAATTTCGTTTTGACTTTTTGATGTAGGTATACAAATACGAGAAAGATAAATTAATAGATAACACGTTTAATGTAGATAAAATAATTAAAACTCACTGTGAAAGATTTTTATTTATTATCAGAATATCTGAATAAGTTAAGGCAAACACTTATTTTACTTTGGTCTCTAAGATAATATATGTACATTGTTTATACTGAAGTAAATTTTAGTTTCGTTTAAGACTGTTAAAGTAATGGCAATTGTTTTACTAAAATAATAGAAAGAATTTTTTTCGTACTTATTTAGCTATTTAAAGTTTCTCATGATGTTAATTTACGATATAAAAATTAAATAAATCAACTGTTAATGAAAATAGGAAATGTATACATCACCAATGATCGAAGCTTATTTGCTGAAATTTTTGTATACAAACGAATTGACCAAACGCAATGACAACGATTTGTGCAGCACATTTAAGTATTTTAAAATTTAAATCTATTTCCTTCGCACAAAATGAAAAATGTATGCGAATTAATATAATAAATGTGTCGTGAACTCGAGTACCTATTATACAATCGCCAACTAATCAAAAATCGTACATCACATAACACGGAGCAAATAGATCTAAATTAACATCCAATATAATATTATAAAAGCGCGTATACTCACAGTCGTTTATCGAATCACATAGGTAACTGCAGTATATTCCACTGCTGCGGCGTACGATTTCGCGTTATAGACGTTCCGCTGGAAGCTGCAGTGTTAGCGTCGACTTATTCGCGATAATAAACGCGATAACATTTTCTCTTCACCAAAACAATGGCTGTGAAACATCGATGTATGTAAATGATTTGAGTATACATTCTTTAAAATAATAAAAATTACTACGTTAACGTAATATTATCTACACACCCAAGAGGGTAGTCGGGTGCCGAACGTAATAATCGAAGGGATGATGACGTAGGCGGCGCCCTAGCAACCGTTGCTAGGGATGGGATACTGGAGCAGTTGTCTCTGTTTACAGTATAAAAAGAAAGAAAAAAATATCCCATTAAACTGTTTACCGGGAACTACTATATAGGTATATATGTGATACATGCCATGTATAATGGTCAGAGCTTTTATTATTTTTAATTATTTATATACACACGCGTGCCAGTGCATGTGTGTGAATAAGAGAAAAAAATGTTTTATTACGACATGAACGAGTATATTATGATTCTGTATATTGGAGAGATTATAGTCAGTGAACTCATACATATATATATATATATGTATACGTGTGTGTGTGTGTGTGAGTGTATATTCTGTCGAGCGATATGCGATGCAACGTGTGTGGCGGCAAACTGAATTATATTTATATATACCTAATGTTATATATATGTATAGGAAGGACCCCAGTGTGAGCTTTCGGATTGATGTTCACAGCTGGTGTTTTGTACAGATTTGATTTTCTTGAATAAAAAACAATTTTCAGTACCTGCCTACACATAAATCGAGCTCTTCATCTGCAATGTATGCTGTTAAAATAATATTTTTTAAATTATGTCATGAACTAATGAAAATTCTAATATAAATGTATAAATGTTAGTGAATTATACTGAATTATACGTCAAGTACTCAAGTGTTATCGGTAATTCCGTTATGGAATCGATTTTGTCGAAAACGGGTGTCATGTAAATATTTCTAATTTCCTACTTAGTTTTCTAAATATTTTTCTAAATTATTATTTACTAACAAAAGTACTAGAAATCTCCTACTTTTGACCAAAATACCAATTTGATAATTAAAATAGCAACCAATATAACCCTCAATGTTGAAGATCAAAACAGTTTTACTGTTCAACAAGTATGGACAAATCGAAAGAAAAAAATTATAAAATCATTGTAATACCGCTCAGAACCTAAGATCTCAATTAAAATGATATTACCGTTTATAATCATTATTATCGTAGTTCTGAATACACCTATAACCTAAGCTATAATATATTATACCTGTATGGCTGTATCGACGTACCATACAATGTACTAATAAGTTTTGAGTGTTACTGTGTTAGGACAATATAGCTATTGGTATTTTGTGATTTCATATACACACTTGACACTGTGGTCTGTGGTTTGTGGTTATAAAGGTAAATTTTAGAATCCGAGTGGAGTGATAAATGTACTGGATTTGTTTTATATATTTTTTTTGGTGAGCAATAAAAATAAATCAATCATTAACGTTGAGAGTGTTGTTTGGTAGGTAATTTGATACTATTATACTTTATTGCCTTTATTTCTATAGAAGTGGTCAAAAGTAAATAATTTTTAGTACTTTTCAAATTATCTGGTAAAACAGCTAAAAAATTACAAAAAACGTAAATACTCACGCAAAACCAGTTTTTGATAAAATCAGTTTACTTTTTTTGTTTTAAGTCAACAATAAATGACACTTGAGACTTGACTACATTTTCCACTCTTAATTGTTTTTTGTATGTCATGAATTTTGATTGGCATTGAATTCGAATTAAACATATCCATTTCAATTACAGCGACCTACCTATTAAAAGTTCTACACTCGTGTACACTCGAAATTTGAGTCACGACCTATTACAGCAGAACGACTTATCCTGGTTTGAAACGTACATTTAATAAATGACTTAACACTCATGCTCATATTTTAACTTTCACACAATGTATCAACTTGACGTGTATAGGTATTTATAATTTATATTAATATAATAAACAATAAATGTCCAAATTATATTCCTTAAAACACTCTACACTTAGACCCCTCATGAGTGTATTATTTTTCCTACAGTTCAGAAGTTGTAGGTATTCTTGAAATTAACTGTTATTTTTATTCATTAGAATTAGAATTTTTAAATATTTAATACAACTAAGTACATATTATTTATTCAGCTATTTTGGGTAAATAAATAAAAGTAAACCAACCAATCCAATTTCACCAAAGGTGGTTAGTCAGCATATATATTTCTAAGGATATTTTATATTTTTAATACATTATATTTGTAAATACGGTAGGATGAACTAATTTTGTCAAAAACAAATCGCATGTGTCATGGTAATAATAAGTAACTATTACAATAATGTCATATCTTATAATATTACAAGCTATAATTAACTTATAAGTCAATGAATGGTATGAATAAGTTCGTATTATAAATAGCATAAAATCATAAAAATATTTTGAAAATATCATTGTGCATAATACATATAGTAAATAATCATATACGCTGCAGTAAGTAGTAACGAATATTTTTTAATGTATTACAACGAAATAACTAAAACTGTTATTTTTTGTTTATAGTGTCCAATTTTGTCAAAATACACTTTATTGTATTACCTACATTTTAAGCTTTTTTTACTCAAAAATAAAAATGTTTGTGTACTTAAAAAAAATCATTTTTATCAACCATATTATATTATCTCCATAACTCGATAACTTTAATGAAATCATTTCAAACATGAAACAAAAAATGTCACCAATATCTGGCGATAATGAAGTAGCATAGCAGAAGATAACCTAGTTAATATATTAATACAATAAAAGATACCTATATGCAACTTTTGTAAAAATTATTTAAAAAAGCATGAAAGTATACAACAAACCTAATATTCACACTGTTTATCAGCAATTCAAAATTTTACGTGGCAACAATTAATTTAAATTACCGTATTACAAATAGAATAAAAACAATAACACCGATATAAATGTAACATAATTTATCTTTAAATAATTATTTTTAACTGAATAAGTTATTGTAAAAATATGAATGTATATAATATAATGTCATGTTAATGGCCTGAGTCGTTGAAGCGAAAATATATGATTAAATGATCAATAAAAAAAATAATATATCCTTAGAAATATTGGCAGGCCGTGACCGACACAAATTATTTTTCGTAGGTATGTACCTAACATTGATTTACTATTACATTTAAATGTAACATGTCCATAATCCATTACACTTTTACAGTGATTGAACGACTAACTCAATGACATTCGATACCTGCTAATATTACTACAAGTTTATTATACAACTATACTGGCATACTGCAAATCTACTTCACCCCTTTTATTATAATAAATTTTCGTTGCACACAAAATAATTTGTTTGCGAAAGGTTAGAAATTTAGTAAATTGTATTGAGTATCTACTGCCTACTAAGAATTGAATAGTAAGAAAGTAAATATGAGGCACATAGACACATAGAATAGTTAATTATTTGCTGGATTAATTACCTTCAATTTTAACTACTTATTTTTACAAAACTTTAGAATTCAATAAAAATGTACACAAAAATATGGTCGATTTTAATATAGTATTATTTGTTTAATACTTATAATATCGAAGTTATTTCTACAGATTATATCAATAATATTTGTGTGAGCATAAACGTGCTAAACAATTGTATGTAGTTTCAAAAAACTTCTTTAAAAAAATCAGAAAACCTCATTACTATTTTTACAACCTCTAAAAATAGGTTAAAAATTATTCCAGACACATAGGTAGCAAAAAATATAACAAAATATGTACCTTATTCCCACATTTTTCTATATGCTGATTTATTCTGGTGTCATAACCTGCAAGAGGAAATAAACTAATAATTAATAAATATAGGTGTTCTCAAAATAGACTTCTGTTCCAGGCATCCATCATTCTTATGGCTTGAGTCATCTGTACACAATTAATAATCTTTCGATCGGTTAGACATAATGATGGATTAAAGTACCAGGTACCTATTGCGGAGAAAGGAAACGGGGCAAACCAAATTTGATTCAGGAAGTTAAGTTTAAAATCTTAATAAATATAAAAAAAAATATATTTTTAGTTTTTTTATACATTTTTTTTTAAGTATATAAGTAGTTATGAAAATATTTTAGATTCTGATATAAATATTCAATTAGAATTTTATTTATTTCTATTTATTTGTTTATTTTGTATATGCGTCTATCATCACCTTTTTAGGCTTCAAAAATACTTCAATTTTCTTCAACATCATCTTTTCTGGTAGCAAATTGAATCTAGTTGTAATAACTTTGGTAGTACTTTTGGGGGTCAAAAGTATTTCCAATAGAAAATTTTAAAGAACATTTTCACTGAATGTTTATGTAAGCAATTTCCTTGCACTATAACATTTTCGAAATATGTTGAATCTTTCTGAGATAGGTATTTGCAGGCATAAGAAAAATTTGAGTTTTTTTAGTTTTTTTTTATTTATTATCTATTTGAATTTTTTTTCTCGATCTAAAAACAAACTTAAAAAAGTAATAGGAGGTTCCTCGTAAGTTGCTGATAGTGGAAATCCAACATAATTATTTATGAGCGTTTCAATTTAGAATTTTAACAAAATTCGTTAAAATCACGAAAATGTTCAAATTATTTTGATTAGGATATTCGTAGAAATTTTTCTCTTTACATCTAAGATATTAAAATTGAATACGAGATTCCCCTTACATTTTCCTACATTTATCAAAAAAAAAATTTACAGGAAGGTTAAATTAATTTTTTCTAGCGTTTAAAGTTTGGCATTGGATATTAACTGAATGCAAATTTAATGCATTCTAATTTTCAATTTTTTTAGTTTTTTATTCTATAAATGTCAATAATATTTTATTTGGATCAAAACCTTGAAAATGTAATACAAGGCTTCTTATAAGTAGTTATATTAGCAGTTGAGAAATTTTAAAAATCCGTAGGCCCATCATAATATTGACAATTGCAAATTTACTGTAGTTAAAAAATTATAAAACATTCAATTTGTATAGCTAAGGATTGAACATTTAAACAAGAATTCTTACAAATAGTTCAACTGCAACCAAAAAATATAAAAAACAGTCAATTTGTACATACATTTTAAGAACAAATTTGGACGAAATTCATCATAATCTTGACAATGTGTAAATGTATTGTTGTAAAAAATTGTTATTATTTATACATTATTTTATTGTGTACAGTATTACTAAACACAATGAAATTTCTAACGCAACATTTTGGAAAAAATTAATCTAATCTGCTGTGGTGCGGAACTAATGCAGTAATGCATAATTGTAAAATAAATTACCTAATACCTAACTTAATAATATAACAGCAATATCGTCAAATATCCTAAGTAAAAGTAATATTATTATAAGCTGACAGACCGTCTCCTTACAGAATCGTTTTACGTATATAATGATTTTATATCATTGAATTCAAATTTAACAACATAAAATTCAGTGACCCACTTTTAACCTACTGTACAGCAGAGCGAAATCCATACATTGCCCCTTTTTTTATTGCAGCTGTCACACAGTTATGTGAGTGTTGTATATTATTTTGAAAATGGTCAAAAATAATATTTTGATTTTTTATTAAACTGAAAATAGTCGCATAGATCTGTGATAAACCTCTAGACAACCTTGTGTCTACGATGACTTACTGAAAGTCTGTCATATTCCACATGATATCGCAAATATTCAATTTATTATTGTTTTTCAAGTAAATATTTCCAAAAAAACAAAATATAACAACAAGATAAATACTGAAAAGTACCAACCTACTTATCAATAAAAGTATAAAATATAATAAGGTATTAAGTATCTACCTATATCATGTATAATACCTGTAAAAACTATATTAAAATATTAATTTGATGCAACTAATAGGTATTAAAGTCTAGTGTCTACATATTTGTGAACAAATTCATTACCTACGAAATAATAGTATTACTTATAGAAACCTATTTATCAACGTCGTAAATATCATTGAAATTAAGATTACCACTTGGAACTTACCAGTTACCAATAAAATAGCATTACTAAATGTTTATTTATCATCATAGTGATAATAGCTGATAAGAGATGATTTTAGTTTTTGATATCAAATGATTGTGACATCGTGTATCTAATCATGTTTGTTATTATATGGATAAAACATAAACATTTAAATAAACCAAATAAACTAATTCTAAATAGTAATTAATTAAGCTGTGCAACTCGTTATTACTATTTTTTCAGCTTATTATTAATTATTATTATTATATTTTGTATCATATAAAACAATATTTAATGGTATGTTTCACTTTGGTTAAATTATTTTTCTTTAGAGTTAAATTTCAATTTTTAGATTTTAAAAACAGTATATACTAGTGTAAATATTTATATTTTAGATATTAAGTATAATAATTTTAAATTGTTTATTTATTAGTCATAAATCAATACAACAATGGAATTCCAAACTACAAGAATAGAGAATAAAGATCTTTGCAATGTTCTACTGAAATGGGTTCGTTTTATTTTACTAACTTATATTATTCTTTAGCTAGATAGTAACTATCTAACTTAGTAGGTAATCTTTAACAAAAAGATATTATTTTAAATTCGCAGATTCAATAGATCAATAGTTTGATAAGCTAATCATTATCATTGTAATAATATATATTTTTTTAATATTTTAAATTTCTAAACTATCAGCACAAGGTAAATAACACACTAATTAATGACAATAGAAAATAAAAATATAATTAACCTAAAATGTATTAAGCTCGAAGTTGTACAGATGATGGTCTGCGAAAAAATAGTGGCTAGCACAAGATATGAATATAATACGTATTTAGTAACCAGAAAATGTAAAAACTGTTATTAATTCTAAATTGTATTTTGTAATTATTATTTATTAGTCAATTTAATAATTATTTAGTATATGTGTGTTTATATTTTAAATAATTTTAAATAATTTTAGTTGCAAACATTACATCTCAAAACTCCACATCGAACTTTATATGAAATTACTGATGGTGTAGCATTAGCTGAAGCATTGAATCAAATGTAAGTATTTTCTAAATTAAACCAAAATTGTTCTAAGTAATTACAAAAATGTATGTTTATTAGAATTTAAAAAAAATTTTGCTAGGTACCTAAAGTTAGTGAAGCTGACATTTTATTTAAATAAATAACGGTTAATTATTATTTAGTTAAGGTTTATATTTTATTTCCAGTGCTCCTGAATGTTTTGATGACAATTGGTTTTCAAAAATAAAAAAAGATGTGGGAAATAATTGGAGGCTTAAGGTAATTATATTTTGTTTTATGCATTTTTAAGTAAAATTAATGGTTAATTGATTGTTACTGCAACCATGTGTGTTGTAAATATATTTACAAACATTTTGGGTATTTTAAAAGTTGCACTTAATTGTGTCAGTCAAATATTTTTAAAGTGGTATAACTTACCATTCAACACAATTAAAAGTAATTACAAAAAATAAGTTTTAAAAGAATAGTATGTACATTATTACATTTAAATTATAATCATTATTCACTTACAACTAACTTAAAATTGACACTTTATTTCAGGTTAGTAATTTAAAAAAGATTGTTGAAAAAATTCAAGATTTCTATCAAGATTGTGACACACAACATATGGGCAATTTTGTAAAACCAGATGTTATAAAAATAGGTAATTTATTAAATTATTTAATATTTAACTTATAGGGTGTGTGAGAGGGTGTGAGCAATTTTTTATTAAACATTAAATGTTGGCTTCATGAGCTATGTCCTAATAGCAATACTTAGATTGGCTGTAGAAGAAGACAAGTGTAAAGAAGAATATTGAAGCTTTTAACTTATTTACTGAACTCATGCATCCATAGTATTAATGAAGGGCTCATTAAAAATATAGATACCCAAATCATGGGAAATAATTATAAAAATGCCATAATTTAAAGAAATTAATAGTATATTTTTATATTTTTATGAATTATTTTTATTTACTTAATTTTAATCTTATAAATATTTTACACATTCTGTATGCATATCGTATTAAATTAATAATGACTTAAACAAAGAATTTCATATTCGATAGATTTATATTTTTCACATTATGATTCTTTTAATTATACTTACAATGAATTATATACTGAATTTGTTGAGATTTCAATACATTTATAAAACTTTTAGTGCATTTGTTGGGATTTATAAAGCGTTTTATAACACTTGAGATTTTAAGGGTTTTTAATGCATTATATTGAATAGCTCAAATTATTAACACAAATCATTTGTATGAATAATGTGTACACCTATGCCTATGCTACAATGTTGGTTGTTTACAAGTTAAAAATTATTGATTCTGAAAATATAAATAAAAGCAATAATAACCAATTTCTTATCAAACCTGTACCTTATCGATGACATTAATTATTCTAAATTACGGACTCTCATAGTATTTTATTTGTTTCAATCAACTAATACATTATATGTTGAAAATATCTTTGGTTTCTATAGAATACCTTTTATGTTAAGGTGTGTGGAGAGCCCCCCATTAGTTTGCTTAAAATTATATGCAGTTCCTCAAAATTTGATTTAATTTGTGCCTATATTTAAATGATGATTTACAAAGATCTTTTGATATTTTTAGAAAATTAAAAATGTCTATAAATAGTTCAATGAGTCAAAATATTTTGAAAAGTGTACCATGTTTATAAGCTTATAAAATAGTTTGGTGAAAATTTCAAGTATCGATGGTTATTAATTTTAAAATTATTACAAAATAAGAAAATCGATTTAGTCAAATCAAGATTTATCTATTAATTTCCATTTTTGACAATTTTTTTTCTCCAATCATGAGTAAGATATAGTTTGACCTCTGAACCACTTATAGATTCACTTTGCTACCAGAAAAGATAATATTGAAGTATTTTACTGCACCAAAAAAAGTACAGGAGACAAAAATAAATAAAAATGTCATCATTATAAAATCAATATATTCATTGCTAAGAATCTATAAGACAGCAACTTATAAATTAAATTATTTGAAATAAGATATTTGTATTCAACCAAATATGTATGAGAAAAAATAAAATATTTTTTAACAGGAGACCAAGATGATACAATGGAATTAGCTCGTTTGTTGCAACTCATATTGGGATGTGCTGTTAACTGTCGTAATGCTCAAGGTAAAAAAATAACTTATACATTTGGCTTGGAAATAATTAATTTAAATAAGTTAACTATTATAGATTACATAACAAATATTAGATCAATGGATGAAAATTCCCAGACAGTAATAATGCAGTCTATACAAGATTTGGAAAGGATACAAGGACATCCTCAAAGTATAATCGCTACTAGTCTCGGAGTAGATACCGATCACCAAGAACAAATTCAACAACTTATTGATGAACTTCAATCTGTTACCAAAGCTAGAGACCAAATGACTCAACGCTGTCTTGAGCTTGATTCTCAAGTAACTAAAATATATTTATTATTATTAATATACATATGTTTGAACTTTGTACTATAAGGCATAACAAATAGGTTATTTATATATATAATTATAACCGATTGTATAACTTTTTTTCAGATAAGTTTATTACAAGAAGAAAAAACATACATTTTAGATGAAAAAAGACATTTAGAAGAACGACTTTTAGAAAGTGTTGAAGATCCTCTAAAGGGTAGTGGTCAAAGAAGACAGATTGAAGAACTAAAAGAAGAATTGTACAAAGCTGAAACGTGTAAGTTTTATTTATTAATTAGTTATAAATATTACAAATAAGTATTAAATTAAGTATTATTTTAGAACAAAGTTACCTATGGCCAGCAGTATGCAAAATCATTTTTTCCTATTTGGGTGAAAATAATACAATAAGATTTTTCTTTCTTTTTAATCTCATTATCCCTTCCCACCGATAATTCAAAACATTCAGCCCACCTTGAAATGTTGGAGACCCCTTTTATAGTATACTAATAATATAATACATATTTCAGCTAGAGATGACTATCGAATAAAACTCAAGACACAAGAAAGAGATATGGCTGAATTGAAAACTAAATTTGATTTATTACAAGAAACTGCCGGAGAAGCTAGACTTCTCAAAGATGAATTAGATATTCTTCGAGATACAGCTGATAGAGTTGAAAAGTATGAATCAACCATTCAGTCCTATAAAAAAAAACTAGAAGAACTAGGTGATCTAAAACGACAAGTGAAGATATTGGAAACAAAAAATATAGCTTATATTCAACAAAATATGGAATTAGAACAGGTAAAGTTTTTTTTTTTATTCTTATACAGTTAACTCAAATATCTACAGTTGTACTTCTTAGCTGTGTTTAGCATAGAATTCTTAATAGTTCATTGGTATTCAATCCCTTTAAACTTCAATTTCAGTATTATAAGTTGATATTTTATTCACTTCTTTATTCTTATATTAATTTTAAAAATATATAAGTATGTTCATATTTTTGTTTATAGGAAATAAAGAAGTCCTCCGTGTGGAAATCACAATTAGAAATGTATAAAAAACAAGTCACTGAACTACACCATACATTAAATGATGAGACAAACAAAATCGATAAATTGGAATTTGAATCAAAAAAATTATTAGAAAACTTAAACACTTTGCAGAAAGAGAAAGATGTAAACAATAATATATTTTTCTGTTTTGATATTCATTAATTTTAAAAAATTTTTAGAGATTAGTTATTGAGAGGGATTCATTAAAAGAAGCAAATGAAGAATTAAAATGTTGTCAAACTCAAATGAAAAAGACGAGTACACTTGAACATTCTCAAACAACTGCTGACGATGACATGGAATCAGCAATGGACCTCAAGTTTGTTAACATGATAAAATTAATGTTCTATCAATAACTATCTTGTTTTATGTAATTTTATAAATATGTAGACAGAAATTAGTAAGGCTTCAGCACGAGAACACAATGCTAAAAATGAATCAAAAAGAACCGGAAGAAGATAAAATTTCAGTTCTTCAAAGTATGTTGGATAATACGAGACAACAGTATAATGAACTGCGTTTAGATAACAGGTACATTTTTATGTATTTCTTTAAAAAAATTAGTTTTTCGAGTTTATTAAATTCATAATATAATAAAATTTAATTAGATTTTTTATATTTTCAATAACTTGCTCGGGTATCAAATTATTTATATTTGTATTTAATGTTTATAAAATTATTGCATTTTAGAAAAGCTAATCAAAAGATTTTAGAATTAGAATCTGAATTAAAAGAACAAACAGAAAATACCAATGAATGGAATTCCAAAATTAAAGAACTACAAAGTCAATTACAGTGTGAAAAAGATACACGGTCATTGGATATTGAAGAAAAAAATACGACCATATCAGATAAAGGTGGGTGAACAAATATTAGGTAGCTGACGCGGTATGTAAAGAGCCAGTTTAAAGGTACAAAATACAAGCACAATAGCAACCCGTGTACAATATCTTCAACCATACACACTGCCATTTCGGCCTAAGTAGGAGAATATTGAAGTGGATATTATGATAAGATCGCTATGGCTCACTGTTACACGCCCGGCGAGTGAGTTTCAGGTTTAAATCCTGTACCATTTCTTTTTTTTCCATTTAATTCTTGATATTGTGGGTTAAATAATAAAAATCACTCACAAGTATACTCCAAGACATGTCACAGAACTTATGGCTGTAGAGCCATTATAGCATGTAGATTACCGATTAGTAGAATGTAAATTATCGTGTTCAAATAAAATTTTAACTTAATTTATCTAAATTCAAACCAATGTATAATTTTATATTATTTTTTAGATCAATTCATAAATATTTTGCAAGTTTCTCTACATCAGAAAGATATAGAAATACAAGAATGGGAAGAGAAACATAAAAAATTCATAGAAAAAGCAAAATCAGTTGTTAAATCTATGGACTCTAAAAACGTATCATTATCTGATGTCGACACAAGTGTATTAGAAAATAGACTATTAAAAGCCAATAAAGAAATAAGTGATTTGAAGGTGTGTATTGTAACTAGTAAATTATTATAGATTTATACATCAAAAACTCTTATTTAAAACCTTAAAGCCAAACTGATTGGCTGTTGAATAGTTATGTTCTTTTAAGTATGTTAAAAAAATGTAGTATTAATTATAAATTGTTATTTCAGAAAGAACAGGAAAGCTACAAAACATCACAAGAGATTGAAGAAAAATTAATATCTACTGCATTTTACAAACTAGTAAGTTGTTTAACTATTATCTGTGCACAATTACAGTTAGAGCTGGTTTATGGGGAAGTTTGCACTCCATAATTGTTAAGTAAAAACAAAAACAAACATTTTTAAATACACATAACTCTTATCGGTAAGCTTATTAAATTGCTGGTTTTAAAGAAAATTCAAATCAATACTGTCCAAAGTTCGACACGGTTTCATTCCTGGTAGATTCGCAGTCACTAAATGGCAGACTTCAACATAATATGTTTAAGATGCTTTTGAACTCCACTTACAAATAGATGTTATTCATACAGATTTCATTTATTCATTAATACTTACTTTAGATAAGCTGGGTGTGGAAAATCCACTGTTATTGTGGATTCAATCATACGTCAGTGATAGATTTCAATTTGTCGACATGCTTAATAATAAATCGGAGAACATAAAAGCAACAATTGATGTAGGTATCTCAAGATGCACATTTATCACCACTTTTATTTAATATTTTCATTAATACCTTATTGAAGATTATCTCCCCTTATAAAATACTATTATTTGTCGATGATTCTAAATTTGTTCATAAAATTACAACTCCAGATGACTGTACTGCAAAATTCTCTACATAAACTAGTTGGTTGATGTAATTTGGTTGGATTCTCTTTCAATTTTGATAAATACCAGTTATTGACATTTTTCAGAACACATAAAAAGATTAATTTTGATTACATAATTCATAACAAATGCCTGCCTCGAGTAGATCTTGTAGAATATTTAAGATTTATATCAGTACCATCTCTATCTTTTAGTACTCATGGCAAATTCATCACTTATCAAGCTCTACCTATATTGGGTTTTATTTGTTGAAATGTGTCAGACTTTGACCAAGTAAATTGCCTCTTAATGTTTTTCCCATCACAAGTACAATTGGTTTTGGAATACGGTTCTGTTTAAGGTCTCCTTATATTGAGGAAGGTGTACAAAGGATTGAAAGGGTCTAAAAACGCTTCTTTCGCTGGTTATACTTTAGAAATGACTGACCCTCCCCATAACTATATACCAATATCAGAACTTAGGAAAACTTGTCAGACTGTGAATTCAGAAGAAAAATGCTAGAAAAATATATATTATTTTGTTTATCTAGTATCCACTAATAATATTGGGTTGGATACTCATGTTAAACCAACATGAGAGCCACCACTGACTTGAAAACATTAAACATGTTTTAATATTTCAAAATAATTACTCTTATTTGTTTAATTATTGCAAATAACTATGTAATTACTTTTGTATAATTGTTTGTATTATTTATAATCTTTAGGCCCAAACTAAGATGCAAGAATCTGTTGATCAGAGAGTAATGAATCAAGGACTGCTACAAACTCAAACATTTCTATCAAAGCACAGACAACAAACCAATAAAACAGTTGAGTCACCTATTATAACCAAGAAAATTATTTTTTAAATCAAAATACTGTCTTCTTGTACACATTATTTGTTTTAAAAATTTTCCCCAAACATAAAAATGATACATATAATAACAAGCAAATATCAAAAACCTAATGGGTTTAATGACCTTGGGACCCAAAAGATTATTATCTGTTAAGAGGATGCCATACCCCTCTTACAAACATAACATTGTAAATAGTACATTCTAAACAATTCATTAAACTCTGTTTTGCTCAAGTTTGTGAGTGCATTGACCTATTACCAAATTTAGAAATAAGAATATTATCCAATGGATTATGTAGGTTTTTATTATTTTAATTATAAAGCAAGTTGTGAGTATTTAAAAAATGTACAAAAAATTTAATATTTTAAAATGCTCATAACTAGCTTTAAAATAAAAATATTAAAAAAACCCTATGTCACTAGATAATATTGTTAATTCTAAATTTGGTAATTTGTCAATTCGCTCTAAAATTAAACATAACAGAGTAAATGAATTATTTAGAATGTACTATTTTGTATGACGAATACTATGCATGCAGGCGTCCTCTTAAGAGTTTAAGCCTAATATAGTGCCATCAATTCAGGCTGTGTCCTACTTGTAACAGTTTTCACATTTATGTATCTGACTAAATGCCTAACCTGCAGAGGTATGAATCTCCTATTATTTAAAAATATCTTAATAATAAATTTCTTATTGTTTTTCATTTATTATAGGTATTTTAATAAACAACTTTATTATAAAAGTAAAACATGATAAACACTTTTACTAAATTTTGAAGTAAGAAGTTTTTGAATATGTAAAGCTAACGTTTTTAAATTTGCATTATTGTTAATAATAATAATAAATACTTTAAGTAACAAATTCAGTTCAAAATAATAATAACAACAGTTGTAAATAATACTTATAAAAACATTGAAAAATTGTAAAGAAACTTCCCTGGTATACTGTCCTTAGAATGAAATTTTAAATAATAATTAATCTATAATAATATGTATTTAATGTATTTATATATATATATTTTTGTTCCTTGTTTTTAGGTAGTACAAAATCATAGAAAATATAGAGGTAAATCTCCATAAAATAGTACTTAGTTTGTTTTTCAAATATTCTAAGTATACAAGAAAAAACAATAAAACAACTAATTTAACATAAGGACTGCAAGTAAGTAGTATGCACACCAGTTTAAAAACCAAATTATCATTTTCATGTAAACTATTTCCATTCTGACTCCTGTATCACGTTTTTGTTTATTAATAGCTAGTAAGTAGTTATAATTATTAGAAAAGCTAGTTATTTAAAAGGCTCGACATAAAATAAATCCTGCTTTAATCCTAATCCTAATACCAATTTTGTTTTGATGATAACATAAAATAATTTTGATAACTCATTAGTCGCCCCTAAGCTTATTTTATACATAATAACATTTGTAGTTATGACTTATTTTTAGATTTACATAATCTGTTATCCCTTCTAAGTAAGTCTTGAATGCAGTACTTCCATTACCTATTATTCTGATGAACTATTTGTCAAGCCGAAGTATTAATTAATCCTTAAACCCTTTAAAATCCTACCTCAACTAACAAGTAACTAGGAGAAAGCATGAAAATTTCAGACTTAAAAATATATTGTATATCTAAATTATTTGTTCGAAAATAATGTAGTGTTCTATTAAAATAAGCTATTTAAAAAATACATTGATGTATGTTAGATAAAAATAATAAACTTGATTTGAGGGTACCTAAATAAATATATTTGAATCATAGGCTATAAGTTCAAGAATTCGAGCTATTGTACTTGAAACTTAATTTTTATTTTAAAATAGTTTTTTACTTTTCCAAAATGTCCGATTATTATTTATTTGAATACATTTCATTGTTGTTGAGTTGGGTAACAATATGTTTATCAAACCAAAATAATCAGTGCTCAAATTAGAAAAATAAAAGAAATAGGACTGCTAGACTTGAAAAAAATACGACCTACCAAGATTAAACTTAACCCAGCCCTCGGGTTACACTAATCCTTGACAAAAAGTTCTGTAGTACAAAGTATTCTTTAACATTTTCATTTATAACAAGGTACTTATATAATATATAACTATACATATTCCATGTATAATTAATATTTATCTAAAAAACGTAATTAATTTTCTTATACAGTATTGTATTTGATAACTATTCCTTATACTTACCTACTTACCTTTAAACTGTGGACAAGAGAATATTTTGGTATATCTAGTCAATTGTTTAAAATTAAACTACCATTCGCCTAGTAACAGTTCAGGTGTTATAACTCGTGGTATTTGGCAGACATTTGTGAGTCCTACTCTTCAGTCCATATCTTAGCTTGACCACGTTATCGATTATCTAGAAAAAAAAATCATTAAATTAAATTTTAATTTCTTATTAAATAGTTACGGTACAACTTTACGAAATTATCATTACAATATTATTTTATCAAAACAAAACGCTCTGTCATTCCGTTTTAATGAAAATAATTAAAAAGGGTGCTCTCAAAATATAAAAAAAATTAAGAGGAGCTCCATCCCTCTCCGTCCTTCTCTAATTCGAGCACTGTGGTGTTTAATGAGATAAAGCTTAAATGTACAATGTAAACTTCAGTTAAATGATATCACTGTATCGGTGAACCTAATTGGAAATTTTTCAAACAAAAATAAATTCATTTATTTATTATATCTAAAATATTTGAATCAAATGCTAAATTTCCGTACACATTTCCACATTGCCTTACTTCCGCCTCTGTCTGAAAAAGTTATTTCATTACATTTACCAGCAAATAGTAACAATATACATCACTCTATCAGACTATTCAAATTCGCCACTTCAGTAATTGTTTTTTGCCACCTAGGCCTAAAATGTCTCAAGTTACTTTTAATCAATTGTTCGAAAAAAAAATGTATATTATTATAAGATATGTAGGTATTAAAATATTATAATTGTAAGTTTATTTAAACAGTTAAAGAGCTATTTGGAAAAATAGATATAATTCAATACTATTTTTTATATGCATTTCGTTGGGTACTAACTACTAATAGTTATTAGATAGGTATTGTAATTAAATATGTACCTAATATATTAATATGCACTTAGTGCAGTGTTAATAATTGTGCACAATAACAGTTTATTTTAAGAACTTCAATTAGTATTGTTTGGTATTCATTATGTTCTTTAAATAAAATTAATATTTTTATAAAATAATTTAAGCCATAAAGTTATCATAATTAACGTTTCTAATTAAGGTGTATATGTTATCGATGTTTGTATTTGTAAATTGTATTATTATTGCTCAGTAAAATAGAATCATCGTTTAAATTGAACTTTTTTCGGAAGAATATCTTTTGTTATATTAATAACAGATAAACAATACTTGGTTAACATATATTTTGACAAAGCTATTTATTATTGAGTTTATTAATTGCCCTTCAGTTATTAATTATTATAATATTTGGTTTATAATTATGTATTTGTGTGAAGTGTGTGCTTACACTACTCATGCTTGTTTTGCAATTATGAATAATTGAATAGGTACCCAGCTAAAATCAATTGTTATGTTATTTACTGTGTGTTTAAGTCCTTTGTAAAATAATTATAGTATATATTACTTGTAGACATATTATTATATTAATTAGTTTATCAAAATATTGTTAAAAATAATTATTGTAAAGTTTGATACCGGCATACTGCAATTATGTATTGAATCAGGGTAATTTTTTTTTAATTAAACATTTGATCTTTACGGGACACAATCACACGTTTTGTTGTGATTAGGTACCTACATACGTTTTATTTATATTATTGTACATGTCAAAATTAAAGTTAATGTTTTTAGTGTAATACTTTTTTTTATTATGCCATTTATGTTGAAATCACTGAAATTGTTAATTTAGAAATATTATATCATTGTAATTGTATAAAATATAAAAATAATAATAATTTTATAGTATTCAAGTTAATTTTGTTTGTGATGTTTTCATACACCTTGTATTTCCTAAAGACGAAAAGTTATTTACTAGCTTTTGTAGCTATTGACATTATTACAAAACAATTAAATATTAATTAATTGATTTATAATAAATTATAAATAATAATGGAAAAGCCGATAACATTGTACGCCTGTCACTTTAGTTGGTATACGTTGTTTGGCTGGCCAACATTTTATTATTTTACTTGCTGCGTAGTTAGTGTTTAATTTATTGAACTATTTAAGGTATTTTTTCGATCTGTAGTCATTTATTTATACTGTCAACTGTGCGTAGCAGACAACAATATACAGTGTGCCATGTGCCCATATACGATTGTAAATAATAAAATCTTCAAATACCAATTAATTATCTGTTTAATTTTTATTAATTGCTATTATTAGTTCTTCTTTAAACATGGCTCTGTGAGAAAATTAAACATCGACACACCGTGTTAGTTAAACACGATTATACTCATTTGTTTGTGAACAACATATGTTTAATATTTCATTGTAATTTTTATTAAATGTGATATCGCTAACTAAATTCAAATGTAAATTGTAATTATTATACATTTTGATCATTAAACCAATTTTGTTTTTTTATGTTTAGTTTGTTCTCATCTTGAGAAGTAATGTAAATTAATAACTTGAGCAATAAAAACAGATAAATCTGTGATATAAAAAACCGGTGTGATCGCAAAGTTTTAGATTTTGTTTAAGCCAGCACTAGAGCACAACACTTGATTAATTTTTTACCAATATTATCATAAAATTATTATTTATTTACGGTTTCACGTACTTACCGAAGGATTTGACCGACAAAAAGTTCCGATTTTTTAACGCTTATAGTTGTTATACTTTATGTCGTGGACACGAGGACACATTTTGGTAGAATAAATTTAAATAAGCCCCGTGTTGCCTCATTAATTTACTTATGTAAATAATGCTTGAACAAAATATTTAAATACCAAGTAATTATTTACAAGCAGCAGATAATTGTGTTTTATATTTTGTATATAGTCTCCACTTATTCGTGATTATCATTTCAACTAGGATGTTTATGCATTTTTGTTTTTATATTAATCTAAACGTGGCGGAATGCGACAAAAATCAAAATAACAACAGGTTAGCTTGTAATATCCGAATCACAGTTTTTAATGCTGTACGGCTGTACTAATAGGCTATGTATTTTATTTATTTTGTAAGTGAACATTTCGTGTCTCGTTGTAGGTTGATATTTCGTATTTTACGCGTAGATACCCAAATAATATAATAATTTACCCTTTTTGTACTATAAATAGATGATTTACATAATTAATCATATTTAATAGTTAATAGTAATATAGTATGCTCGCTGTTAATATTATTTATAAGGTAAGTAAAACATAGGTTTTAAATTTATATAATTAATATTTGTATTAAACGGATACAGGATAGGTAGGTACTACGCCTCATAGTACTCATCAAATGTCAATCCATCTTGCATCTTATGACTTTTTTACAATTTATTGTGTTTTAATATAACATATTAGCGGTATTATAAAAATGTAGTACATAATTAGAAGTCACTTACTATAGTGTACTCCGCAATATCGGTAGTTTAATAGCGATTGGACAAATCGCAAATCGTATGGTTATAAATTTATTGTAATATTGTACCTATATCTAAATTAAATGGCATTCGTGTAGCGTGTGACCTATACTGGCCCCGCCGTGATGTACTGTAACAACTATTACTGTCACAAACTCCTATACAAACAAAATTATTCCAACATTTTCCAAAGGTGAAAGTTTTCTGGGGACTACTGTAGTATCGGATGAATGAAAACCATAATATGTCCACAGTCTGAAAAATATTGGCTGTTTTTGTTTTATTTATCGATCATTCAGAACATTATGTAAGTAGGCATTGTAAATAAAGGATACACAAGCAAATGAAAGTATAATATTAAAATTCATGGAAACAATGAAAACTATTACCACGTCATTTAGTTGTAAATATTAACTCAATGATAACTCAATAAAAAAAACCTAACTGCTCTATAAACAATTTCAACTATTTATCTATACATTTTTTTTCATATTTGTGAGGTAGGTATAAAATATGTCTTAGAAGTTATGATTTCATATTATACAATATTATATTTTATATTTTTGTATGATTATTTGTAGGAATAATTGTTTTCGTTCGATATCAGAAACATTTGAATCATATTTTTTTTAACTATATAAACTGTATTTTTTTCCTTTAGGTCACAGACTAAACCTAAAAATGCCTGGTAGGGCATACGATGAATTTACCTACGCCAATTAAATAACTTATCAGTGCTTTTACTGCTTTTAGAT